TTATCCGTTATTTCTGCTTTTTCGCGTAAATTGTGTAATTTTTAATGTACAGTGTGTCCGATTTTTTATGGTTTTACGGTGTACCTCCCCCTAAGCTAGCAATTCCGTAGTTATTTTTGATATATAAACCAAACTTGTTATTTTTTTATTGGGCTTGTTGTAAGCTTTTCAAATATATGTTTTGTATTTTATTTCAAATACAAAACATATATCTTTAATTTTAAATGTTTTATGAGTAGGTCATGCAAAATGGTGTTCATTCTAATATACCGTATTTCTGAAACAGTCATGGCATTTCGTAATTACTATTTTCATTTCTGCCTCCTCTTCCTTCTGCTATGGCTTATTTTAACCCAAAATGTAACAATTATAAGGAATTCGATATGGTAATAATGTAATTTATGTAATAAAATCTGTATTTTCGATGGCCTGATCATAAAAAAAAAATTAAAGACTTATGCTTTGTATTTGAGAGATCGCTAATGTTTTATACATTTGTGCAAAGAAAGCCGCACAAGATTGACAAAACTATCAAAATGGGACACACTGTATATTCCGACGAAATAGGTACTCAACGGAAATTCTTTTAATCGGCAAATAATTTCAGGAAATAAAAACCTATATCTAAAATGGTGATTAGAAAATTTTGAAAATGATTTTTAAACTTCGTAATCGTTCCAAATACTGCACCTCTTCTAAGATTGGACCAGAAATAAGAAGAGAAAAAAAATTGAACCAAGAACTTCAAAAAACACTGTCGTTTCTCAATTTCTAAAAAAATTGAAACAATGTGCTTGTAAAAATGGAGATTTAATTTAAATCATTGTATGTTTTAAATGACTTATCCGATTTCACCAAACTCAGGTTTGGTTTAGAGAGAAATGAATCTTCAAATGTTGTAAATGGGACACTACAGTTTTATATATTTATGAGTTTCAGATTTATTATTATTATTATTCTGATATGGAAACAAAAATCTATTTCTTTAAATTAAGGTACCAAAAAAAAGTTAGATTGGAAGAACTTCAAAAAAATCTAGGTTTGCACAAGTTTTTCCAATAAAATTATTAGATATTTTGAAAAATAGCCTTTTTTTTAATAAAAAATAAAAATGTTGAAGGGCAATTATTTAAAAACTATCCCATGATCAAAATGTTGCTAAAACTCATTAATAAAAATGTTCGCAGACACGGACTTCAGTCAAATAAAAAATACAAAGGAAAAAAGAAAAACCTATGCTGTATGAAATGAGACTTCAAATACGAATTTTTGCTCATCGGTTTCGAGTGTCCGGCAGTTTAGTAAATGAAATCGTACAGTAGAGAATCGTCGTAATTAATGAGCTTTAAATAAACCGGAACTGTGGGTAGGTAGCGATTTACTCCCACGAGAAAAATATCACCGGTGACTAACTCGTAACCATTTCTTCAACGGTTCTCAATTAATCGATAAAGCGAAACATATGATAACACCTTCAAAGTGTGAGAAATCCCCATTAATAAGACCGAAATTGACCAACTTTGCATTTTTAATTAATTACTTTTATTCATAACTTAATTTCGTAAACGTATTTGTAATTTTCCGCAAGCATTTATCTTATTTCTTTTTCAAAATTCTATTTTTATTTACATATCAACGCAGGACACTTCTGGAGAAGGAAATGCGACAAACAAACGTGTAACAAAAAATTAAAATTTATCTCCATTAAAGTTTTACTGGACAATAAAATTAATTCTGACGCGATCGATATAATTGTGTGTTTGAAAAAAACGTGCAACACGATAGTATATTGTGTTAATAATTACTAATAAAACAATAATTTATAACCTCCCAAAACAATAATTTGTTATTTAACTGATTCTCGTATGATGCCATAACAATTTAAATATCTACATATTTAATTTGTCAAAAAAAAAACTGCAAAGCAAATAAACATATTTGTTGGAAGTTCGTCATTAATTAAACTATTACAAAAATATATGCGAACAAAGTAGGGCCCGAAATGGAGTCAAATAGCAGATTCGATTCACCAAGGATGTTTCGTGGAATCCTATACTCGGACCAGGAAATAAATTAAAAATCACCTTGATGAATCCAAACGCACAGATATCGAATGCAAATTCGTTTTAATCGCGATCAGTCGAGTTTATAGGGCGATTGACAATTCGCCGCTAAAATTGTAAGCCCACAACGCCTTTACATCAATTAAGGCAGATTGAAATATTTAATATTTGAATAGGCATGATTTCGGTAGTCAAATCTGTGAAAAAAATACGACTAATGAAAATCCTAAGTATTAATCATAGCATAGCTTCAAATTCTACGATCAGGATTATTGTATGTTTTAATAAGTTTTATTATACCTAAACCTTAGGAATTCTCCAGGCGTTGTTTAATTAGTATTTAAGTTGTTGATCAATGAAATGAGATAATTTTTGACGAGATAGAACATCACATCAAATAAAATAATACCATTTTTTCCAAATTCAAGGGTTAAGAATTACGATAGTCATGTAGGAGGAAAAAATTGGCAAAATATTTTTAATGAAGGATCATAGATTTTCTTAAGATGAAACTATGCGGAAATTTTCCACGCAACGTTGTTGAGCGCTACCGTATCAAAATACTAATTATCTCGTTAGTCATTTAACTCAAGTGCTCAAATTCATTGCCGGCAATTATTCTTTTGTCATCGGCCAACAATGATGTCTGCGTAGTGCGAGTCTGAAGCGATTTTAAATAATTGTAATTTATACTGCGGCAGATGTGACATTGGCTCGAAGCAATCTGATTGAATACCAAAATTGCCAAGGGGGCATTTACTGTGCGCAAGGCTTATGAAAGTGTTTTAATGTCAGTTTAATCACTTGGTGTGTGTCTATTTATTTTCTTCATTTTAGAACCTTGCGAAAACATATTTATGAATGAAATTTCGAAAGTTTTACTTATGTTTATTTGTAAACATATATCGAAATATAAAACGTCAAAGTTTATATATTTGTTCAAAAGTTTGATCTATTTAGTGTTACTTTATGGCGAATTATAGTTTACTTGTAATTTATATTTATCAAACACAGAGCATTTGACATCATGCATATGTTACAAATTACGAACACTAATTTTCAAAAATAAATTTCCAAGAAAAAATTAAAATTTTCATTAGAAGATTAATCAGTCACAGTAATATATAAACTTAAAAATAAAATAAAATTTTGTGAAAAAATAAAGCGAAAGGCTAGAAATAGAATAGATGCTACATTATGGAATTTAACTATTTAATTATGATTATTTAAGTCAAAACTAAAATAAGTATAGAGGTCCCTAATGGAAAAAAAGTAGTATGCATAAAACCAATATGGCTGTTCAAAAATGTACGGATATGTAGACTGCTCTTTCTTAAAGGGTCTGCTCAGAGGCTGTAGAGGATCCCGTATATTGCCACAATAACTTAAACGATTTCGTTTTTCACAAAAAAAAAATATAAATGTGGTTTGAATGATGATGCACATCGAGACATGGAAGTCTTAATAAATTAAGTGGTTCAATTAATTAACCACTCTAAAATTAGCAAACTGGCATTGATTTTTTCGTCTGGAAAATAAAATTACACAGAATCTGTATCCCGCGAATAGTCTGCTTGGTTTTCTTTTGTAAGTTTTGTCCTTAGTATAATATAAAGTACATACGCTAAGCTCAAATGCGACACACACGATATATTTCAGGAAATATTGGCCAATTGCAAAGCAAAATCTAATTCCATATCTTTGAAATCACCTGTAACTTCCAGGTAATAAAATTGTAATTTTTAAGTGTTAAATGAAATGATTCTAAAACTATTAGTGCAGTAGCGGACCAGTCCAGTTGGTATTACTTCCTATCTATCTGTTCTTTTTGATAAGGTTATGTGCTATCGAATAAAATACGTATTCTGCAGAACATTGTGGTTATCATCGCTATCATATATAACAAAAAAAAAGAACCAATACTAAAACAGCTGTAATTTTTGACACTCGATCAAAGATTGCTTCTCCAACGTTCCACTACGCTAAATTGTGATTGGGGTGGGTTTATTTTTGTTTGTACGTATTTATTAATTTATAAAGGGAATCCTCGTCGTTTACATCAAATTAAGAACGGCTTATTGATTAAACATGAGCTGACGATATTAGTTTTTAGTAATTAAGGCCAAGTGCATTTCGGTATATACATCATTTTCTATTTTAAGCAATGCTTAGATAGTTTCGCAAAAATTATCTATCGTAGAAAATTTTAGATATGTATATGGGATTCAGCAAAACGCATTTGAATATTGGTTCGTTGCTTTAAAGTTTGCTCTTTCAGTCAATCTTAACCCTAACCAGAAATCATTAAAATCTTTAGAATGAAAGATACCAAAAAACACTGCTCTTTGAAATAGTGCAAAAAAAATGAAGGCATAAGTATTTAAAATATTAGAAATTAAACCACTACTACTTTAAAAGCTTTTTTAAAATATTTTCTTATAATGGCGTTCTAAATGAGAGTTTTTTTGCCTTTTTATCAATTTCCTTTATGAAATTTACTTGCCTGTGAGATTTTTCTGGCAAACGCTTGTAAATTTCGCAAAACAGAAGACGATTAAACCAAAATCATAAGCCTAATGCGACGGTACGTGCGAATAGCAATTAATAACGAATATTCGACGTAACGATTACGTTTTCCGTTTCGGAATTTGCGCGTACACAACTCGAAATAATTACCATATCCGCCCTGTCATTTAATAGCGAAACTTTGACCGAAACCTACAAATCGCAACCTTCGCTACGAATTTTTCGCGCGGTTCGAGGATTTGCGACATTTTCCACCAATTTGGTCGCAAAAAAGGTGCGGTTTCCGCATCGGCGCCCAAATATTACGATAAACTGATTTCTCTTTTGCGAAAAATTACGAAACCGCTCTCCGGTCACACGGCGCGATCTTCCTAGCGATGTGAGACTAACTAATAAGAAAAATTTACTTACCAAGGCACTGCTGTCGCTCGGCGCAGACCCAGTCACCCCGAAACAAACGAAAAGCGCGACGGAAACGCCAAAAAACAACGGAACGAAGCAACGCATGATGAGTCGCGAAGGTTTTTCGAAAAAACTAACAAATTTCGAGTGCGTCGATTGCCCTTATCGCCCGCTTATCTCTGGTAAACGATTAACCTGCGATAAGATATGACTCACGGACGGGGGGGAGTGGCGTTGCGATCGTCGGTATTTTCGCGCACCATGCAGCAGTACTTCCGATCCGGCAGGATTCTTTTTACGGTCGGTCGTTCGCAGTACTGTCAGCAGGAGTGAGAGAATACATGAAAACGACCTTTGTTATGGCGCGAGCGGCGAACGACTGAAGCGCGTTAAGTTCGCAGGACCGCGTTTATATCGTTTTCCTATCGAGCTTTTCGCGACCTACCGCAACGTTGTAGCAGACGCAAAAGCTCCGAGGCTCTTAAAGTTGGAGCGAACCGATGAGTCTTCTGTAGTTCCTATAAAATATTAAAAAATATATAAAAAATATGTATTATTATGCCTTATTAAACTCTATGGCTTCTTCAGTTATTTCACAAATTATAAATATCGCATCTATAGTAAATATATTATTTTCAAAACCTTGCTGCTCTTCATATCCCATTAGACTTTACTTCTTCTAAAATTTCAGTAAATACTTTCATGCCTCGATAATTTTAGGGATCGTTTTTTTTTGTTTTTTTTTTTGAAAGTGGTATCAAAGTGGGCTCTTTCCATTCGAATTGTATATTTTTTACCTTTAGAATTTTATTTATATTATTTTTATTTTTTATTTTATCATTTCGTTTGTTATTTCGTCGATGCCTGGGATTTTTCTGTTCTTAAACTTGGCTGTCATTGATTGTACTTTGTGCGTTTTCTTGATGTTTTTATCATCAGGGTGTAATTTATGTGCTGGTACGTTACATTATGTTAAACTATAAAGTTTTGTTAAGTGTCTTTCCCATTCGTCAACCGTGATTTTTGTGTTTTGTATGTGTTTATTGATTTGTTTATATTTCTCAGTAGATTCCATATTTTCATCTGTCCCCCGTGCAGGCCATGTTCCATATCCTTCGAGAACTTCTTCCAGTGTTTTCTTTTGATTTTTAGAATATTTTCGTTGACTTTTCCTAGAGCTTTATAAATATTATACGTTATTGCATTAGATCTGTATTGCAGATACGATTTTCTATACTCTTCGGCTAAGATCTTGACAACTTCGTGTCTGGACCAAGATTTTGTGTTTGTTCTTCCTCCTTTGTCGTTTGTTAGTGATTCTATATTCAATTTGCTTTCCTCTAAATATCTAATGTCCTGCATTCTTGTCAGATGAATATTTTTGTTTGTAATTACGTAGTCTATAGTTGATTTATGTGTATTTTCGAATGTATACTTATCTTGTGGTTTATCTGGGTAGAAGGTGTTGTCAGTTCTAAGTTCGTTTTGTATCATTTTTTCGCCACTCTCATTAATTGTTTCTTCGTTATCGATTTTTGATACCAGGAATAACTTCATCGCCAATTCATGCATTGAAATCCCCCAAGATTATTATTTCGGCCTCATTGGGTATATCGTCTAAGACTGTTTGCTGCTGTCGGGTGCGTAGATACTTATCATATGCGTTGCTTTTCATTTTTGATGTTGCTCTGTCAATTTTATCCTCGCCGCTGTATGTAAGAATGTAGTTTCCATATTTGCTGTTGCCTTTGCCCCTCTTTTTAGTATTGTTATTTGAAGTATGATTTCTTGGTCTTTATTATTAAATGATGTAAAGTAAATACATTTGGACACTAGACTGCTAAAACTGGTAAGCTTGCGTAATTGATATATATATTTACAGTAAAATATTAATAAAGAATAAAACATTATTAGGATATTAAAAGAATAATTTATTTCTTGACTCTTTTACTGATGAAGGCAAATTTACAAAGTAAAAACAAAAATGTATATTAGGTTAATGAGCACATCCATGCCCCTTAGCGTTAGGTTGGTTTTGATGTTTCTCATTTGGTTTTTAATTCTTCCCTTCAGTGTTTTGAACGGACGTACAAATTGAATTGAAAGATCCGCACAACAAAACAGCCGACGGCATTTTGTTAGTTTTAATCAGTTTCGGTTACGCTGTTGCCAAGTTTAGACACTGAGTTTAACACTCCAGTGTCTAAACCTGCTAGGATTTGTGAACGTAAAGAACCTTGCAGATTTCAACCCCTTAATGTCAATAACAATCAGTAAATATGTTGTCGGGATCCATGGGCCAGCGGCCGTTCTGCACGTTAGATGACGTTGCTGTGCATTTACTTAACTCTTCTTATGTCAGTGAATTTCAATGTTTCTAGTTCATTCTCCAACTTCCTTTCGACAAGACCGGTACCAAATATCACTTACCATTATTATATTAGTGAAAACTATGGAAAAGTTTGATGTTCTTACATTGCATTACATTCCTATTTCTAATACATTTTCTTTTTTTTATATTCAATTAAGCTTGTAGTTTATAACACTATGGCTTCTTCAAAACTAACTTTGGACTTTTGGATGACCTATAAATATTAAAAAGTAATCGTATTTTATGATAGTTGGAACTGTTAAAACTGAAAGCGAAGAATTGTTGAAACGTCTTTTCGTTAAACTTAACAAATTTAAAGGTCTATCATTGTTTTCCTTTGGTCCGCCACAATTTTTCTACATAAAATCACTCCCATTTCTCAAATTCAAAGATAATGAAGAAAACACTTCTGCTTAATTTTAAAAATTAACCACATTAATCATTACATTTTGTTTTACAAATAAAATATTAAGTATACTCCACTCCATTCTAGAATGAAGTTTATCTTTTTTGAAAATTTATTCATTATATGATCAACATGTACATGAAGTGTAAATAGATAAGCTTTATTGTTGTGTATACTGCATCCTTATATAACAGCAATCTTTCTATACAAATAAATTTTCGACAGTTATCTCAGAAGTATGTAGAAACTTGTGAAGAGAAAATAAAAGCGTTTATCAAAAGTAGATCTTTCATTCATGGTTTTGTTTTGTAAGTTGTGAGACTTCGTAAATGAATTAATATTTCATCGCAAATTTCTTTAGCATTTTAATAACCAATTCAATCTCTAAAATATACCATAACCATTATTACGTGTTTTAGGAAAATTCTTCTAAGTGTGTGTGACGCCATAATAGCGTATTGTAGACCTAAACCTAGCGGGTAAGCTGACGTTTGAAGTGACACATTATTCGCAGAGGTATCTTGCATATATTATAAAATTAATTGTCAAAGATACAAGGGAATGTACTTTCACCGATTGTCCACACTTCTTCACAGTTCTGCTGAATTACTAATGTATGTAATGTAATATTTTTTAAAAAACACTGTGTTCAATATGAATATATCAAAAGCAGTGAAAGTTCCTAATAGTTTCGAAGATATTAGGAACAGATCGAAATGTTTGAAAACAATTTTATTGTCAGCTTTTAATTTTTTCGTCATTTTATTGGAGCTGTCAATGACTTTGAATTCTGTTTGGTTTCTTTCCGTTTTTAACTTTCTGAGCATAGTGCCTCAAACAAAAGATAAAATGAAAGTATGAATGAAAATACTAACTACACTACATTTTTTTACCTTTTAATCGGCATGAAATATTATTGGAGTGAAGACAGTTTCAGACGAAATGGAAATCGCCAATACATTTAATGAATACTGTTTAAATAGTATTACAGAGATTGTATACAGTATCCCACAATTCGATGACAGAAAATATCATTGCAGCCACACCTACATATACGGAGTTTTCTAAATTTGAAACACTGTCACACTCCAATGTAAAAAAAATATGTTTATAGTATAGTAAATACTTCACTTTCTACCGGAGCATGGAGAATTTAGACCGATAAACACTGTTCCGGTTTATGAAAAAATATTGGAAATGGAAATTCGTCGTTGCATTCTGCGATAACAATGACATTTTAGTATCCAATCAGTCTGGTTTCCTTCATCAACATTCGTGTGAGTCTGTGATAGTTCATACATGTGACAATTTTCTCAAAGCTGTTGATAGTAACAATTTTATTTTGGCTGTGTTCTTGGATTTTAGGAGCGCTTTCGAAACTGTTGATAGGTTTACGTTGTTAAGAAAAATGGAGAAGCTAAGCACACGAGGTTCAATTGATACTGTCGAGACAATGTATGGAGTGCCGCAAGGAACTGTACTGGGGTCTCTATTATTTCTATTGTATGTTAATGACATAGTTAATGTAATTAACTATAGTAAAATCGAATTATTCGCAGATTATACAATGTTATACATAGTTTGTAGTGACATAGATCAGATAAAATGAATACATGAATGGTTATGTAAACACAAAGTTAATATTAACACGTCAAAGTCTAAATTTTGTAGTTTCGGGAAAAAATTGAGTACTGTTAATATAGAAAACATAAAAATTAACATAAATAATGACATGCTAGTACACGAAAATAAAATTAAGTACCTTAGAGTCATGTTAGACTCACAACTAACGCTACGACGGCATGCTGATTACGTAATGGGAAAATTCTCACAAAAAGTACGCTTTATATGTAGAATAGGCCATAGTATTTCCATGTGCATCAAATACCTTTTATATAACAGCATTGCGGCACCTCATCTCAAATTTTGCTCCACACTCCTGTATAACTTACCGAACTATAAGATAAATGAGTTTCAAGTAATTCAAAATAGAGGATTAAGATCGATCTTAAGGTGTAACAGATACACTCCTGTAAACCTTATGTCAAATGTTGTTAATGTCATGACTGTTAAACAAGGAATTATTTATGATGCAAATATTTTTATGTATAAGTTAAGAAATAAACTATTACCTGATTACATCTGTGATAAAGTAAAATATTTTAGCAGCGTGCATATTTACTATACGTGAAACCAAATGACAAATTCTATTCTGTAAAAGGGTCTCTCCGAAAATAACATTCTGCCAAATATATGTGATGTCTAAATTTTAAGTATAAATCACTGTTTCATCTTAATTTTGCCTATATGTTGATTTTTGGTTATAGTTATGTTGTTTGTTGGTTTTGATTGTCCATGCATTTTGTAAAACTCTGTAAACAATTGTTTTTGTATGTAGCATCCCAAGCTAATAAAGAAAAACAATATTGTATCTACCGTGCATCATTATCAACGACATGGATAAGCTGTTGCGGTTTCTTCAAGACCACTCACCGAAAAATGGTGCGGAAATTCGAACAGGAAATGTGTCGGCTACGCGTCGCCTACAGGTTTTTCATTGTACGTAACTATATGTATCAAAATTTTTTGAACGC